ACACACACACACACACACCCACACACACACACACACACACACACACATAACTATGATTACCTTTTCCTTCCACAGCTGGTGATACAATAAATATGCATAAAAAAGTTAGCCAGATCTATTTTCTATATTCAGATTTAAAATCACAGACATCACACTAAAATCGATTATTATTTTATTGACATATTATCATGTTTAATTGTTCATCATAGCCTGCGAAGACAAAGAGAAAACAATTAAGCAACCAAAACGACATTAAGGAAATGCTGCATCTGCCTGTCTTCTGTACCTGATCGATCCAGTCGTTAAAAGCAGAAACTCTGGTGAACACGGTGGGTTTCTTCACAAAGTTGCAGCCGAGGCCAGACACAAAGCTGGCAATACCGTGGACCTCCCAGACACCATCAGCATTCTTACAGTTCAGAGGACCACCAGAGTCACCCTTGACAAACATACAGAGGAGATGCTTTATATTTTATTCAGCTTATGGAGCTGGCAGTAAGCTGGCGAGCCGCACTGGAAAAGCACCACCAAAATCAATGATTCATAGAGTGTAATATGAAAATGAAAAATGTTTTTCTACAGCTTGACACTGAAACACAAATTTGCCTCCGATTCTACTTTGATTTTCTTTAACTGGCAACCCGTGCAAGGTTTGAAATGCAAATGCGTTCAGATTTTTTTGAAGAAGAGAGAGAGAAAAAAAAAAGGTCAATCAAAAACAGTATCGATAACCTACATTGCATCCAGCCACGATTCCATCTCCACCGGCGCACATCATGGTGGTCCTAACAGCGATGCCCCACCAGTCGGGCTTGGAGCAGGTGGCGTGGTCGGCCACAGGCATCAAAGCCTGCTGCAGCTTATCAGCAATGGGGCCTCCGGCTAAACACACACAGGCAGAGTCTATTACCGTCATACACATAAACTCGCTGGCTGTCAAAGCTGCTTTACAGCATCTCCCCAAGAGCAAAGCACACAGAGTGACCCAAATTTTGTATTGCAGAAAAACCCTCTATTTTTTTTCCCAGTTAAAATCTTAAACATGATTTTCTGATTTTAGAAGTTTTCTCTGGGTTACCTTAATCACTCACGCTGGTTATCTCAACTGCAATTTAACACCATAATTCAAAGTGACATAACCCCCTCATTAATACAGCCCCCCCCCC